TCGAATTTACCACCAACAAGTCACAGACACCTACTGTAGAAAAATCCTCAGCCCACATATACATAAAACCCTGACATTCACTATAACCCTGCATAAATATAGTTGCCTTGGCAGTGATTATAATATATCCCATGAAAATACCCAAGTTATCTAATGGTTACATATACATTAGAACATGATTATTACATATCTTCAGCAGGGAAACATGTTTTGACTGAAGTTTTGAGATAAATTTTGATACCTCAATGTTCACTGCTTTATTTCTGCAGTTGTATGTCCATGTTCAGTCAAAATAAACTAAAAAATAACAAAACTATCCACTTTGCTTTCATGTATACAAGAGGTTTACAATATCACAAAATTCAAAGCAGTGAATGTCAGAGAATAAGGTATAAATACTGGATGCCTGCTAAGTGTGTGCTGCATGTACGTATACCATGATACATCATAATTTAGTAATTATGTAACTGAAAACCGAGCCATGATTGGCACATCTGGATGAAGCGGGTTCAATCTCCTCACAATACACCATTGCCAATATGTATCCTATTTCAGTTGATAAACATCCATTATGGGACGATGCAGAGACTGAGACAGGTACATGGCAACCTTAGAAGTTAAACCTTGACACCGTGTGAAGGACTGAATAACCTCCATGCATGAAGCTAGAGCTTTGGGATGGATAGGAGTAAGATTTCGGATCATGGCTGTCTCAGAAATGGTCAAAAAGAAAGTGGAAGAGGTTGGCACTCCTGAAGATACCACAGAAATGGAAACCAGGATTGAGCAAGCCAATCTGGTGCTACCAGAAGAACATGACAGGGGGTTAAACAAATCATAGCTAGGACTCTGGATAACAAATGAATCAGTGGGAAAGCATATAGGTGCAATCCCATTCAGTCCTGCCTGAATGCATCTATTGCAAATGTCTGAGGGTGAGGTACCAGAGACCAAAATACCGGTAGGTGAGTGTTCCAATGAGTGGCAAATGCATCTATCATCGGTGTCCCAAATGGAGGGCAAAGCCAATGGAAAACCTCTTAATGAAGCATGCATTCTGTTGGGAGAATCTGGCTGGTTTGAGACAATTTATTCACCACCAGATTCATCACCCTAGAACATGGCAAGCTAGTAGGAGGATATGATGGGAGTAGGCCCAATATAGAAGATCCAAGGTTTAAAAGCAAAAAGACCTGCACTGAGTACCCGCTTGATGGGAAATGTAAGACACCACTATAGAGGAATTGTCGGAATGAAGCATGATGACTTTGCCCTTCAATAAATCCAGACCTTGACACATCACCCTTTGAACAGCAAAAGTTCTAAAACATTGATGTGGAGGAAAGCTCTGTCGTCCATCCATATGCCTGGAATCCTTGACCATTGAGATATGCACCCCCATCTCTGAAGCAAGTCGAAGACGTTGATTATGAATAAGGAGACAGGTGAATCCAGTGGATTGCTGTTCATGATCCATTGGTCTTGTAGAGACCACTGAAGAGATCTCATGTGCACCAGTTACAAAGGAATGAGGGATTCGAGTGATGCCCACATCCTCAAAAAGAGAAAGAATCATCCATGCAGTGGGAGAAGAAGTAAAAGTTGGTCTGTCTGTTTTATACCATGAAGCCTGACTGAAATATATGTTGAAAAAGACACCCAGATGGACGTCCGTCCATAGGCCCTGGAATTGTTGACCATTGAGATATGCACCCCATCTCTGAAGCAAGTCATACATGAAAAGAGGGATCTCTGGATGGGGTGACAGCAGAGGAACACCTATCATAGTATTGTTCTGATCTAACCACTACTTGAGATCGAAGATGTTGATTATGAATAAGGAGATGGGTGAATCAAGTGGATTGCTGTTCATGATCCATTGGTCTTGTAGAGACCACTGAAGAGATCTCATGTGCACCAGTTCCAAAGGAATGAGGGATTCGAGTGATGCCCACATCCCCAAAAAGAGAAAGAATCATCCATGCAGTGGGAGAAGAAGTAAAAGTTGGTCTGTCTGTTTTATACCATGAAGCCTGACTGAAATATATGTTGAAAAAGACACCCAGATGGATGATATATTGTGTTGGGGTGAGAAGAGATTTCTCAGCTCTGATAAGAAAGCCGATCTTGGTTGGTTTGGAAAGTAGTATTTGGATGTGACATTCTACCAACTGACAAGACAGTGCCAGCAGTAGCCAGTCGTCCATGTAATGGTGTGAGCACAAGCCAGGGGAATGAAGGTGATTCTGTGTCCCTATAATGTATGTTGTGTTTTGTTTCTACACCTCATGGCCCACAACATATGTGTAGGGTTTGAGAGAGCTGCAGATGAGTGTACTTTTTACTTTTGTTACTTGAGTATCTATACAGTAGATACTTTTTTACTCTAACTTAAGTAAATTTCAGGATGGGTACTTTACCATACTTGAGAAACTTTTTAACAAAGTACTTTTACTTGAACTTGAGTAGCATATTTTGTACTTTTTACCCCCCTGATCTCTACCCAGCAAATCCCAACAACAGACCAGTCAAAAGACTAGGGAAAGTGCAGAATCTGATAATCGAACCAAGATAGATGCTAACAGTGGTTCTAACTCACCATCAAACTGATGAGACAATTGCTGAGAGGCTTCTGAAAAAAGGTGTAAGGATGATAAATATCTCAGCACCGTAAATGAGGTCAATTGTGGTCTATTCAGGTTGACCACAGCCTCTATTCTGGAACCCCATATTTCCAGGAGCAAGTCTATTCTCTGAAAGTCCAAACATTAATTATGACCTGAAGATTGTGCATTTCTACTCAAGCCAGCTGGCAGTGTTTATAACCAGATGTATATCTTGTGATATTTTTGCATATGGACTGGTGAAAACCATGAGTGGCCAGAACAAGAAGTTTATACACTGGAAACATACTACTGCTAAGTTTGAAGCTCCACTGCTGAAATGCAAACATCTATGTGAAAAACCAGAAGTGTAAAGTCTTGCTTTTAGAGGGGTTCAATCTCTGTTGCATAAAGTTTTTTTTTTTTTCATAAAACTTTAGTCAGTTTTTCTTTCATCCTTGTATATGTATTGGGAAGGTTCATCATCACCTGTCACCTAGCCTCTACATCAAACTCTGAAAATATTTTAATATTGGCATTTCTTTTACTTTTACAGAGTATTTAAACACAATAGAATGGCCACTATTTGTAAGTTGCTACCGATAACATTGTCACCTGATGTGTCACCTTCTAGTTGGAAGGAAACTAATCAGAGCACTACCTAAAGGTCTGCAAAAAACTAGTCTTAGTTGTTTTTTTATTGAATATTTTTTGGGGGAAAACAGAAAAAAAAATGTATTAATTTTTTATCTATGCTTATTATATATGTATAAAGAAATTGAAGACTTTTTCTCAAACCTATGCAAATCATAATACATCTACATGTGTGTGTGGGTCTGTACTCACTGTACCTTCACGGTCTTCTATGTATGTTTCTCTTTTGTGAGAAGAGATAAAAACATGCATTGTAGAAAAGTAAAAATATTTTTGGGAATGCATTACGTAGAAAAATGGTTCTCAAGACATACATGGTACATAAAGTGAATGTGTACAATTCTGTGTTATATCAGCTGTAATGTGGTATGTAATGTAAACGTGTAGAATTCTATGTCAAATCAGCTGTAATGTGGTATGTAATGTAAACGTGTAGAATTCTATGTCAAATCAGATATAATGTGGTATGTAGTGTAAACGTGTAGAATTCTATGTCAAATCAGATATAATGTGGTATGTAATGTAAACGTGTAGAATTCTAT